TAGATGGAATGAAAGAAACTTACTTTCTATTATTTTCTGGGTGACTAATGGAACAATTATGCCTGAATAAGAGTCCCCGCCGATGAATAGTTGAAGCTTAAGGTATTTTGGGTGTTCGATTAGCCACTGCACCAAAATTAATTTAAGAAATTATGAATTTTTATCTTTTCGTAAAAAATTTCAAAAAACGGTACATGGCCGAACCAGGTGCGGTCCATGGCTGGCCTAGATCAAACTCGACTCAGTATAGACCTATATCTCGAGTAGAGAGACGGGTATTCCGGTTCTCCAACCCAAGGCCACTCGATTGAGCTCAGCCCGGTCAAATTAAGACAAAGATTGAGCCCAATAACCCAGTCTCGGGTAAAGAATTGCTCAACCGATTCATTAAGGACCGACTTAGTAATGAGCCGATTTTGAAAAACTGTGAGGAGCCCAGACCCATTAATTTAATTTTTAAAAATAAGATTAGTGCACGTGTGCAATACATTTGCATAAATTAAAAAATTTGAAATAAAAGTGGGGTGGGCGACGTTCTTGGTCTAAACTAGACCGACCTTGGCCAGGAAATCTCAGGACGAAAACTGATCGATCCGCTTGGGGCCGCCCGATTGCCACCTTTAATATCTCCGGTCGGTCCCGAGGTAGCATTTTAGGGACCAAAATTGAAACGGGTCGGTACAAGCCTAAGAAATTTAATTAGGTTCTTTACTTTTTCATCCAATGGCTATTTTTACGAGACATGCCCAATTTTGTCTTGCAAAATTTAGGGATATTTTGGTCTAATAAAAAAGTATTGTGTAATTTAAACTATAATAAACTACATAATATTAATTATTATATAAAAGTGAGTTCTCTAATATTAAGAGTTTTTATCTTTATTTATTGATCTATATTTTATGGTTCAAATTGTAAAATAAAAGACTTTTTTATCCAATGCAACTTTTTCTAACCATTTAGTCCAAAGTACCAATTAGACTAATTATTCTTCTTAATCTTTCCCTGTATTTTTTGTGGAAATTACTCACCTTTATGAGAAACTGATAGGATTGCTCCGCAGATTTTGAGTCTGAAGTGTACCAACCTTCCTGGGTTGTTGAATAAGAGTAACCAGTTCCAACTGGTGCATCCAAAAATATGAAGCTGGCTGTCTAAAAATTACTTACTTCCAATCAGTTTAATTTGTTTAGGGATTAATTCAAAATAACAAAAGATAAATGAATGAAAATTAATATGCCACCTTTGTCCATGCATATTTGTACTCCCTCAGTTTTGGTAAGCCCCCTGTGTAGTTTTCAATATCAAACTCAATTGGACCTGCACAAAAAGATGTTCTGTGATGATTCATAATTATAATCGATATTCTTTCATGTTGATGAAATCTTTGATGTCACATGCATATCTTTTAGTATTTTTTGAACTTCTCTAGTTAAGACCTCTTCTTCAAATAGTTTTTATTTCCTCAGCCTATTTGGTTGCCACTTTCTTTGGAGCAAAGTAAAGTATCATGAGAGGTAAAATTTTACATTGAAATATAACCAAAAAAAAAAAAGTATGTGTGACTTAAATATAAGACGGACTATTCTATTTATTGACTACTCATTCTAAGTTCAATGTAAAGTTCAATGTAAATTTGTTTAAACTCTACAACTTTAATTCTCATATGACATTAATGCAAACTATGTTCCTGTTAAGTTAGTTATTAGCCCAAGTAATAGGACACAAGGACATTCATCCTGAGTTGAGGTGGCATGTTGAGTTAAGACTTAACCTCTTACCATCTAATTTTAGATTGGGTGGAAGCGTATGCTATAAATTCTTCTTGGTAGAGGTATGGTAAACAATTTCTACTGTTAGCCGAGCGGTCCACCCGCCTAGGCAACCAAACAGTCAGTGACTCAGTGTAACATGTGGGAAAATCCTTAACTTTCCTTCAAGTGCAGTCAGGGCATGACAATTGACTGACAGTTTTAGCTTGTATTTCTACCCCACTAGAATTTTGATTGTTGGTTATAGACTTTGTAGTCCAATATCAATTATCGGAATCCTATATATATGAAGAAACAAGGCTAACTACCAATCTCATGCCAAACCGAATTTCCAAACACCTTTTTAGCTCTTAACAGTATGTAAATCAGCACAGAATTGATTGCAAATGTTCCCTACTAATTAAATTTTCAAATTCAAAATTTGGGAGGGATTTCTCCAAGGACAAAGCATTATATTCACTTTGACAAACTTGAAAGAGTTTATAGTTTTATGGCTTAGATTAGATTAGATTGTAAAACATGACTAATCCCACATTTAAGAAATCCCATCCAATAGTTTGCATTGTTTCTAACTTGAAACTGAAGGACCAAAAGAAAACCCAAAATTAATTTTAGTTTAAAGAAGAAATCAGAACTAATACAGAATTCCCATGAAGAAAAAATTAGAAAAATTAACGTACCGACTTCATAGATAATTCCACTGAAAGTAGAACAGCCTGGGCCTCCAGTAAGCCAGAGAAACAGAGGATCCTCCTCAGGGTTCCCCTGTGATTCAATGAAATAGTAGAAAAGCTCCGAATCGTTTACGCTAATGTATCTGAAAACCAAAAGCCCCCACCATTTTTAGTATCTTGGGCACAGAAGAAAAGGGAATTAAAGAACATCAACATCTGCAGCAAGGAAAAGAAATATTACCCTGTTTCGAGATTGAAAGGCAGTTCACCATCATAGCCAGGAAGATAATTGACAGTCTCGCCAGAGAAAGCTCGAGTTGGTAAAGAAACAAGTAGAAGAAGCAGGTACAGAGACAGCCATGAAAGGTAACTAGAAGAATTGAATGACATTTTTTGATGGTCCATAGGTACAAATGCCAAAAACTGCAATTCCCTTAAGCTGTACAGTAGTGGAGGAGGAAGAGTGTTCCATTATATAAATTATTATTACAGTAGGTGAACATTTTCAACACCTGAAAAGTTGGAAGATCAGGTATGATGCAAACTCAAAGAGAACTGTTTGTAAGTGATTAGGATCAACCATATCATTACTAGCTAAATAAGGGGTGTTTCTTTTAAAACTTTGTAGACAACTATTATTAACTCTAATTAAATAAATTAAATATTTTGAATTATAAACATCAACTATTATAAATTATTGCTAACTCTGCTTTTGTTTTTTTGGTTGGTCAGCTTGGCGAATGGGATTGCCCAGCTGAAGACAAGCTAGGCGCGGATTTGGTGGACAGCTAACTCCGCTTTGGAAAGAGTCCACATCTACCAAAAAAAGGGAAAAAAATTCTCTCCTATTAATCTATTTTTCACCTTCTAATGTTCTAGGTGAGTAGTTGCTCATGTGACCATGGCCTTCCCAATATACTACCGAGAAGACTATCAGATTGTTGTTATTGTCATTCCCTACCACTGTGTTTCTACCAAACTGTCTAATGTCAAGTGCAATAAATTATAATAGTTAAAAAGGGGAAATATCAGTAGAAAAGGGAGGAAAAAATAATATTAATGATTCATAGAGACAATGACAATTAAAAAAAAAATTA